ATAAATGAAAGAGAAAGAGAAAAACAATGAAAAAATTAACTAATAAAACTAAAATTTTGTTTTTTTGAGAAGATATATAAAATAGACAAGTCATTAGCTAGGTTAACAAACTAACAAAACAAAACAAAACCAAAAAAGAAAAAAGAAAAAAAGAAGAGAAGACTCAAACCACAAAGATCAGAAATGAAAAAGGTGACATTTCAACCAGTACTACAGAAATACAAAGAATCATTAGAGACTGTTATGAACAGCTATATACCAACACGTTTGAAAACCTGGAGGAAATGAATACATCTCTAGACACATACAGGCTACCAAGACTGAACCAAGAAGAAATATAAAACCTGAACAGACCTATAACAAGCAACGAGATTGAAGCACTAATTGACAGCAGTCTCCCAACAAAGAAAAGCCCAGGACCAGATGGATTTACTTCTGAATTCTACCACCCTTTTAAAGAGGAATTAATACCAATTCTCTTGAAAGTATTCTAAAAAACTAAAACAGAGGCCCCTCTCCCAACCTCATTCTACGAGGCCAGCATCACCCTGCTACCCAAACCTGACAGAGATACACTAAAAAAAGAAAACTATAGGCCAATACCTTTGATGAACATAGATGCAAAAATCCTCAATAAAATATTAACCAAAATACAGCAACATATCAAAAAACTTATACACCATGATCAAGTGGAATTCATCCCAGGGATGCAAAGATGATTCAACATATGCAAGTCAATAAATGTGATATACCACATCAACTAAATCACAGTCAAAAACCATATGATTATCTCGATAGTTGCAGAAAAAAAAATTTGACAAAATTCAACATCCTTTCGTGATAAAGTATCTCAGCAAATTAGGTATTGTATTGAAGGGAAGTATTGCAACACAATAAAAGCCATGTATGATAAATGCACTGTCCATATCATCCTGAATGGGGAGAAGCTGAATGGGAACAAGACAAGGATGCCCACTCTTACCACTTCTATTTAACATAGTATTAGAAGTATTAGCCAGAGAAGCTAGGCAAGAGAAAGAAATAAAGGGCATCCAGATTGGGAAAGATGAAGTCAAACTGTCTCTGTTTGCAGATGACCTGATCCTATATATAGAAAAAACCTAAAGACTCTACCAAAACCTCTTAGAACTGATTAACAATTTCAGTAATGTTGTAAGATACAAAATCAATACCCAAAAGTTGGTAGCATTTTTATACTCCACTACTCAGTGGCAGAAAAAGAAATCAAAAAAGCAAGCCCATTTACAATATTCACCAAAAAAGTAAAATACCCAGGAATCAATTTAACCAGGGAGGTGAAAGATCACTACAACAAGAACTACAAAACACCATTGAAAGAAATTAAAGAGGATGCAAAAGGCTGGAAAGATATTCTGTGCTCTTGGATTTGAAGAATTAGCACTGTGAAAAAGTCCATAATACCCAAAGCAATCTACAGATTCAATGCAATCCCCATCAAAATACCAATGACATTTTTCATGGAAACAGAAAAAACAGTCATAACATTCATATGGAACAACAAAAGAATAGCCTGAATAGCCAAAGCAATCCTGAGCAAAAAATGTAAAGCCAGAGGCATAACACTACACAACTTCAAATTATACTACAAAGCTATGGTAGCCAAAGCCGCATGGTATTGGCATAAAAACAGACACTTGGGACAATGGAACAGGATAGAGAACTTGGAAATCAACCCACATACTTACAGCTAACTGATATTTGACAAAGTACCAAGGACATATATTGGGGAAAAGACTGCCTCTTCAATAAATGGTGCTGGAAAAATTGGACATCCATACACAGAAGAATGAAACTAGACCTGTACCTCTTGCCATATATCAAAATCAAGTCAAAGTTGATTAAAGACTTAAGTATAAGACCTGAAACCATAAAACGACTAAAAGGAAATATAGAGGAAACTCTCCAGGAAGTAGGACTGAGCAAAGACTTTATCAATAAGACCCCAAAGCACAAACAACAAAATTTTTTTTGGTGGCTATTGTAAATGGGCAGGCTTTCTTGATTTCTTTTTGTGCATGTTCACTGTTGGAGTATAGAAATGCTACTGATTTTTGTGTACTGATTTTGTATCCTGCAACTTTGCTGAAATCATTTATCAACTCCAAGAGTTTTTTTGTAGGAGCTTTAGGCTGTTCAACATATAGGATCAAATCACCCACAAACAGGGACAGTTTGACTTCATCTCTTCCAATATGGATGCCCTTTATTTCCTTCTCTTCTCTGATTGCTCTGGTTAATACCTCCAACACTATGTTGAATAGGAGTGGTGAGAGTGGGCATCCTTGTCTAGTTCCTGTTCAGGATGATATTGGCAGTGGGCTTATAATATGTGGCTTTAATTGTGTTGAGATACTTTCCATCTATATCTAACTTGTAGAGAGTCTATCATGAATGAATGTCGAATTTTGTCAAATCCTTTTTCAGTGCTTATAGAGATGATCATATGGTTTTTGTCTTTGCTTTTATTGATGTGGTGTATCACATTTATTGATTTGCATATGTTTATCCCTGGGATGAATCCCACTTGATCATCATGTATAATTTTGTGTATGTGAAAATGTCCATATTACCCAGTGATCTACAGATTCAATGCAATCCCCATCAAAATTCCAATGACATTTTTCTCAGAAATGGAAAAAACTATCCAGACATTTATATGGAATAACAAAAGACCATGAATAGCAAAGGCAATCCTGAGCAAAAAAAATAAAATAAAATAAAGCTGGAGGCTTAACACTACCTGACTTT